AGTCTCACACTTCTACTCTGTTTGTATTTCTCTGACTCCCCCTTTTATAAGTTTGGAATCTGCTTCCATTGTCTTTCAGGCAGCATGTCCCAGAACATAATGACTCACTGTTTCAAAGTACAAATTCTCCTCCTTCCCCACACTCCTAGGGTTCTTTTCCCAAATCTATTCAATCTGAGCCCCTCTGGTGACTGACCCTCCTGCCCCTGGAATCTGTGTCTCCCTCTTGACTCAGTGGAAAGCTCCAGTGATTTTGAACTCTTCGATTAAATCTCCTCTTCACGTTTCCTTCTCTAATGAGAACAACCACAGCTTCTCCAATCTCTCCACATTCAGTCAAGTCCCTGAAGAATTCTCTTGTATCTTTTCCACAACCTCTCTGAAACCTTCACATCTTTGCTAAAATGCAGTGCCCTGAACTGGCCTCAACACTCCAGATGAGGCTGAACCAGTGTTTATAAAGGTCACAATGACTTCGTTGCTCTTGTACTCTGTGCTGTGTATATAAAGTCCAGGATCCTGTCGGCTATATTCTCAACTTCAAATTGGAGGTGTATTTGAACGGGAAGCATTCTCAGGGCTATGGGAAAGGGATGTAGGGATAGGACTAACTGGAGAAGCCTTTCAAAGACCCAGCACAGAGACAATAGACTGAATGGCCTCCTCGAGCACTACAAGGGTCTACAATTTGATGTTCTTATTTTTCCCTCTTCATCTCTTCTGCTAAAATTAGAAAAATTGCAGAGGAGCAAGGGTGTGGTTCTCAATCCAAAGAGATTTCTGAAGTAATGAGATTTCAAAGAGATTACAATGAGGACTGCAATAGCTCATCTGTTGATGCCAAGTAAGGAGCATCATCCACTGCTGGCCTGATTTTTCATTACTGCCATTATGAATGGACTCTTAATATGCTTGATCTTCTATCCCATGCTCACATCATATTTACTCTTTCTGACAGTACTAGTGGCATTTGCATGGTCTTGGTGGCCAAGAGGAATTAAATGCATTGGCTGGTAAATACTGACAGTTCTCTCCCCACCTGGCACAAGAGTGGAAAATCGGCACTCCACAGTACAGGAAAGGTCCTGTGCACAGATTCCATATCTTTATAGTTATCCTTCTAACTGCGAGGCAGAATCTGATTAACAGTGGTAAATGCGGAACATTGTCGATAGTCTTTCACTCCAAGAATCACAATGTGAGTTGCCACAGTTCTGCCATTGGGCCCGGTTGTCTGGAAACATGAAAGATGGAGACTGGTTATAAACAATATCAGATGGGAAGATGCAAGACCTTGTTATTTCAGAGAAGAATTTAACACCTGAAGTAACTATAGCTACTGAATAGTTAGAGTTACTTTCCTGTAACCTGGCTTCACATTCCTGGCAAGTGCAGTGCTGTAATTACTAACAATTCACATCTACTACTCAATAGGAAATAACACAAACCATGACAATGTGATATTAACACACAACACAGCTTCTTATAATGCAGTGTGTAATTCTCACTAACCTGGTGATGGCTTCCAGCACAGTCCTGGAAGAACATTTAATACTTTAATATCGGTGATTAAACATCTTGACTGCGTCCATAATTTTTTTTATTCTTTCATTGAATGGGGATGTCACTGGCTGGGCATTTATTGCCCATCCCTAATGGCCCAGAGGGCAATTAGCTATCAACCGTACTGCTGTGGTTGTGAAGTCACATATAGGCCAAACTGGGTAAGGATGACAAATTTCCTTCCCTCAGGGACATTAGTCAATCAGCTGAATTTTTACACCAATCAACAGTGGTAGCATTGCGGACATGTGGCCAACTTTTTTATTCCGGACTTTCAGTGAGTTAAAATTTTAACATCTGCCATGGTGGGATTCAAACCCATGTCCCTTGAACATTATTCTAGGTCCTTAGTTCCTATCAGATTATCCACCTCAATCCATTACAGCTCAATATAATGCAGTGTCTGGTTAATAATAACCTGGTGATAAGTTTCGGTTTGGTCTAAAACAATTTCTAATACTCCCCTTAATGTCAACAATTAAATGCATTGACTGTGTCCATCAATGTTATCAGCTTATCCACCCCCATCTAATCCTGTTTGAAGTCTTACATAGACACAGAAGAAAAGCTAATGTAATACCCCTGTTTAAGAAGGGAGGTAGGCAGAGACAGAAGACTATAAGCTGGTTAGCCTGACCCCGGTTGTTGGTAAGATTTTAGATCCATTATTAAGCATGAGATTGTGAAGTTCTTGGATGCGCATGATAAAATAGGGCTAAGTCAGCATGGCTTCGTCAAGGGGAGGTCATGCCTGACAAATCCATTAGAATTTTTTTGAAGAGGTAATGAAAAAGTTGGACAAAGGACAGCCAGTGAACACGATCTATTTGGATTTCCAGAAGGCCTTTGACAGGAGGCTGCGAAATAAGATAAGAGCTCATGGTTTTAGCGGCAAGGTAATAGCATAGATAGAGGATTGACTGACTGGCAGAAGATGGAGAGTTGGGATAAAGGCATCTTTTCCAGCCTAGTAGCCTGTGACAAGTGGAGTTCTGCAGGTGTCATAGTTGGGACAACAGCTATTCCTGTTGTACATTAACAATCTGGATTAAGGAACTGAGGGCATTGTTGCTAAGTTTGCAGATGACACAAAGATAGGTGAAGGGATAGGTACTGTTGTGGAAGCAGAAGGCTGCCAAAGGACTTGGACAGGCTAGGAGAGTGGACAAAGAAGTGGCAGATGGAATACAATGCAGGAAAATGTAAGGTTATACACTTTGGTAGGACGAATAGAGATATAGACTATTTTCAAAACAGGAAAATTCTTCAGAAATCCGGAGCACAAAGGGACTTAGGAGTTCGAGTTCAGGATTCTTTAAAGGTTAATATGTAGGTTTGTTGGCAGTTAGGAAGGCAAAGGAATTGTTAGTATTCTTTTCAAGAGAGTTAGAATACAAAAGCAGAGATGTACTGCTGAGGCTGTATAAGGTTCTGGTCAGGCACATTTGAAATATTTGTGAGCAGTTTTTCGCCCCATACTGAAGAAAGGATTGCTGGCATTGGAGAGGGTCCAGAGGAGGTTTATAAGAATGATCCTGGGACTGAAGGGTTTGTCGTATGAGGAGCAGTTGAGGACTCTGTGTCTGCACTAGATAGTGTTTAGGAGGATGAAGGTGGATCTCATTGAACCTCACAGAATAGTGACAGGCCTGGATAGAGTTGAAGTAGTGATGATACTTCCACTAGTAGAAGAGATTAGAAGAGATCAGCCTCAGAGTGAAGGGATGAATCTTCAGAACTGAGATGAGGGGGAATGTTTACAGTCAGAGGGTGATTAATCTATGGAATGCATTGCCACAGAAGGCTATGGAGGCCAAGTCATTGAGTTTAAGACAGAAATAGATAGGTTCTTGATTAGTAAGGGGGTCAAGGGTTACAGGGAAAAAGCAGGAGGATGGGGTTGAGAAACATCTCAGCCATAATCAAATGGTGGATCAGACTCGATGGGCCAAATAACCTAATTCTGCTCCTGTATCATATTGTAATATAGACTTGAATTTCTCCGGTACCTTTCTGCACCTCGGAATATCCCTATAAACTTTGCAGACAATGAAGTGATTTTTCAAATGTTGTAAGGTAGGAGTTGCAGCAGCTAAGTGCTGCACGATAAACTCCCACAAACAGCAACAGCTACTCATATGTTTTGGGTGCTAGTTCGGGGATGATTTCAAACAATTCCTGTCCTGTTGTCCTGTGCAGCAGTTATTTTGGAATTGATTTGGAGAACCTAATGTTCCAGTTTGTCCCCACACTGTGAACTGCTGTTTCCCCCTGACCAGAGCTGGTCAATTCAAGGCTGTCCAACAAAAAGTGAACTAAGCTCAGAGACAGGCCCGTCACCGAGTATAAAATCAGTAAATGCTTCCTCTTAAATGGAGCTACACAGATACGTGCTGTCTGCAGGCAGAAACAGGCCATTCAGTCCATCTGCTCCATGCCAATGTTTACACTTGTCACAGTGTTATCAGATACAGACTACTGATCTTTAAATTTCATCACCCTATTAGCACCTTGGATGTCCCTGCCCTCAAATTATTTGAAAACAGGACTAAAACACTGACATAAGATGGCTACAGCAATCACCTGATCCATTCAGTTTGGCCAAGTTTCATGAAGTCAATGTCGATGAAACAAGAGACAGTCTGAGGTGAAAGCAACATTCTATCCCAGGGCAATTTAAGTGGTCAGACAGAACATCCCTTAGAGGAATGCAAAGTTCCTCACTTTCTATTTCACTTACACCATGAGGAGAGTCTTTACATGTTGGAGATGAAACATCACTTACAATCACTAAACCCGCAAAAACATAATTCAGCAGACAAATACTATACAAACAAGCTGCTATTTCTAGCAGTTTCTTTTCAGCAGATGTAAGAGATGGATCTTAGACTGCAGAGCGAAATATACACATAGAGAAACCTCTCTCTCTTTGTATCTTTGAGACTCTCGATCCTGTTAGACAGAGACAGAAGGAGATTATTCAGTCCCCAAGCCTGTTACACAGGAACAGGAGGAGGCCATTCAGCCCCCTCCTCAAGTCTGTTACACATAAAAAAGGAGGCCATTCAGTCCCTTCCAGATATTACACAAGAGTAAGATGATGCCCAATCTGCCCCTTGGGTTTACTACACAAGAAAATGAGCTGTAGCCCAAAGGGTTAACATTTTTCTTATGGACCCAGCTTACAGTGCTGCTTTTTCACATCAAAACAACTTCCTGAATTGACTCACAGTGAAACATCAACTCTTTCTAATGAAACTAACAGAGGCAGCACATGAAGAGGCCAATCATGATATGCAGATTGTGTCAGCAGTTACTCCCCTGACGAGCAGTTGGGCAGGTCCTGGGTCAGCAACACAATGATTTGAATTCACTTCCATGACCAACATCATCCTTTGCTGATATTGGGACTTTGTGAAGACAGATTCTAATGACAGTTGCCTTTGAAAGATTTCAATTTATGATTGAGATCTGATGGAGAAAGGGTGCTCAAGTCTATCTCAGAATAGAACTTCTTTCTTGTTCAAAGGATGAGGGAAATGCAGAAACATGAATTTTGGAACATGCTTTACTTTTTTGAAGCCTTGAACTCTCAGAGAATCAACATCATCTCTGAGGACAATGTCTAAAAGTAGTTCTGATCTCTTGACAGCTGTTGGACAAGAGGTGAGGTCTCATTAACTACTTTTTCTTTCAGAGCTTGCGAAGGAAAAGTTGATGAAATATCTGGGAGCAACAATGATTGGGAAATCTTACTTCCTTCTGTCACTTCTCCAAGGTAATGCCATTGTCAGCTCGGACACATTTATGGTTAATAGCCTTTGTAAAAGATCATTCTTATTGAGCTCTGCTTGGGATTCAGCAGTGCACCAGTTGTAGAGGACGCATCTTTTAGATACGTAGAATATAGAAGCAGGAGTAGGCCATTTGTCCCTTTAAGTCTACTCCATTATTCAGTCTCCTTGTCTGGCTTTCTCCCCCAGACCCTTTTATCCCTTTAGCCCTAAGAACTATATCTGACTGTGGCAGAGAATTCAACAGGTTCACCATTCTCTGGGTGAAAAATATTCTCCTCATCTCAGTCCTAAATGGCCTTCCCAGTATCCTTAGATTGTGACCCTATCATCAGGAACATCCTAGCTTGTCCTATAAGAATTTTATAGGTTTCTATGAGATCCCCCTTATTTTTCTAAACTCCAGTAAATATAGTTAAAATTAGCCTTTTGCTAACATTAATCAGAATTTCCTATGAAGTCAACACAGCAACTACTAGAATAGACAGGCTGTTCAGCATTACACTTCCTGTCCATTCTCACTGAACTAGAAACCTCAATAAGGTAACTGATTACGGGGAGGGAAGGCAAAGCAGTTGGTGGATACAGGTATAAAATTCAATTCCATATTTGTCTTTGATCTCAATACATGCAGAGCTCAGGCTAGAAGCACATTGCTCAAGTTATCACACTGTCTGCAGGAGTAGGGTCAGTGCTGAGATTGGGGACCCGTCAGTCTCCATTGCTGTATCGGAATGAATAATACAGTGTTTGAGTCAGAAATAATCCCCGAGATAATGAAAGAGATCTCTCAGACAGAAGGGTCAAAGAGATTCCTTAGACAATGAGGATTTTCTTTATTCATTTGTGGGACATGGGTGTCACTGCCTAGTCAGTATTTATTACCTGTCCTTAGCTGCCCTCAAGAAGGTGGTGATGAGCTATTTCCAAGTCAAGATGGTGAGTGGCTTGGAGGGGAACTTGCAGCGGGTGGTATTCCCATGCATCTGCTGCCCTTGTCCTTCTAGACTGAAGTGGCCGTTAGTTTAGAAGGTGCTGTCTGAGGATCTTTAGTGAATTTTTGCAGTGCATCTTGTAGATTTTACACACTGCTGTTACTGTTGGCAGTGGAGGGAGTGGATGTTTGTGGATGTACTGCCAATCAAGTGGGCTACTTTGCCGTGGATGATGTCAAGCTTCTTGAGCGTTGTTGGAGCTACACGAATCCAGGCAATTGGGGAGTATCCTATCACACTGTTAACTTGTGCCTTGTGGATGTAGTTAGGAGGTGAGTTACTTGCCACATATTCCTAGCCTCTGACCTGCTGTTGCAGCCATTGTGTTTACTGGTGAGTTGAGTTGAGTTTCTGGTCAATGGTAACCTCACAGGATGTTGAGAGTGGAGAATTCAGTGATGGTAACACCATTGAATGTCAAGGGGTGGTGGTTAGATTGTCTCTTTTTGGTGATGGTCATTGCCTGACATTTGTTTGGCAGGAATGTTATTTGCCAGTTGTCAGCCCAAGCCTGGATATTGTCTTGATTCTGTTGCATTTGGACATGGGCTGCTTCAGTATCTGAGGAATTGTAAATGGTGCTGAACATAGTGCAATCATCGGTGAACATCCCTACTTTTGCCCTCATGAAGGGTGAAGATCATTGATGAAGCCACTGAAGATGGTTGAATCTTGGACACGATCTTGAAGAACTCCTGAAAAGATGTCCTGGAACTGAGATGACTGACCTCCAACAACCATAACAATCTTCCTATGTCCCAGGAAGGCGTTAAAGAAAGGTTTAAATTATGATTTGTCAATACTGCAGCATTTGAGATCTCTTGGATATAATTGTGATCCAAACGTGCCTACAGATGCTATTTGAAGTTTGAGCAACTTTGGCTCAGAGCATATGAACTGGAGGCAAAATTACATATATGATGATAAAGGGTGGACATTGCCAGGATTCTTTGTAACAGGAGATAGTCACACCACCTAAAGTAATGCGTTCTGATATGGGTAATGGTCAGGGTCAGGAGGATGTGGCTGCAAGTTATCTTTCAGGATCTCAGAGGTAAGGAGCATCAACTTTTCTAACTGTTCAATAGGTTTGTAGATCAGTCAGTCTGTCTGAATGAGAGGGGGGACATGCAAATTGACCATGGCACTGTGGTACAGGATGCTATTCAAATAAAGAGAGCAACAAGGAAAGTAGTGGTAGTAGCATTCATTATAGTGAGGGGGTGTGACACCGTTATCTGTAGGAAAGTGGCCAGGCCAATGTTGCCTGCCCAGTGACAGGGTTTAGGTCATTAGCTCATGGCTGGAAAGGACGTTGCAGTGGGAGGGGAAGAATCCAATGGGTGTGGCTCATGTCTGTTGCAAAGACACAGTGAGAAACAGGAATGAGAATAGCATAGAGAATATGAGCATCTGATTTATAAAGCAGAACCTCAAAGGTTATAATCTCTATATTATTACCAGAGCTGTAAGCTGATTGGTATTTGTATAAGTCAGGAAGCCTGACTGGAAAGGAACATCATTTATTCTTGAACATTAGAACCACTAATTATGGTATATATTGGGTAGTCCCAATCTAGAACAGACAGGTCTACAGATCCATCCCTGGATCTGCTTTATCTTAAAAAAATATATATCCGTAAGTGCTCTTACAGACAACCGAATGGCTTTTCTACCACCAAAGCACTGTAATTTTTTTTTGGTTTTAAGTATCAACCGCCACCAGTTAATTACCCATATAGCCAATTGGATATTTGGAAGCAAAGCCTGTTACTGGAAACTGAGTCTGTTTTATAAAGGGCTCAGGTGATGAGTTCCAACCTGTTACAAGGGGAACTCAATGAACTCCACAAGGAGATAAATAAGTGATTCCACGTGGGCCTTGTAAGGGTTATCATGGGTACATCGGTGGACTGGACTGTGTTCAAGTGTTCAGCGGAAAACCTCGACGAGTATGCCACCATAGTCATGGACTTATTAGCAAATGTGTGGAGGACTGCATGCCAAAGAAGTCAATCCAAGTGTTCCCTAACTGTAAACCTTGGATGAACCAGGAAATCCATTCTCTACTGAAGACCAGAAATGCAGCATTTAAGTCAGGTGGCCTGGACCAATATACAAAATCCATATATGACCTCCACAACGCCATCAGGGATGGCAAGGGGCAGTACCAGACCAAGTTAGAGGCCCAAACCTACTAAACAGACTCCTGATGTCTGTGGCAAGGCCGAAACAACATTACGGGATACAAAGTGAAACAGTGTGAGATAGCAGACAATGACACATCCCTCCCTGATGCGCTTAATGCTTTCTATGCTTGGTTTGAACCGAATAGTGCCAGTGTAGCAACACCTGCCCGACAGCCCCAGACACACCTGTTCCCTCCATCACCACTTTAGACATCACATCGATTTTCCTGGGAGTCAACCCAAGGAAAGCGATAGGCCCGGACGGTGTCCCTGGCCGAGCACTCAGATTCTGTGTGAACCAACTGGCGGAGGTATTAACCGACATCTTCAACCTCTCCCTCCTACAAGCCAAAGACCATACCTACTTCAAGAAGTCCGCCATCAACCCTGTATTCAAGAAAACACATCCAGTGTGTCTTAATGACAACTGTGCAATAGCTCTGACTTCAATCATTGTAAAGTGCTTCGAGAGGCTGGTCATGGTCCACATCAACTCCAGTCTCCCAACCTGCCTCGATCCCCTACAATTTGCCTACTGATGTAACAGATCCACAGAGGATGCCAGATCCCTAGCCCTGCACTCATCTCTGGAACATCTGAATATCAAAGACACCTACATCAGACTCCTACTCATTGACGACGACTGCAACACCATTATCCCCTCCAGACTGATCTCAAAACTGTGTGATCTTTATCTTGGTTCTGCCCTCTGCAACTAGATCCTCAGCTTTCTAACCCATAGACTGCAATCAATGAGGATAGGTAACAGCACCTCCTCCACAATAACACTCAACACTGGAGCCCCCCCAAGGATCTGTCCTCAGCTCCCTCTGCACTCCATGTACACCTTAGACTGTGTTGCCAAATTCTGAATGAACACCATTTACAAGTTCGTTGCGACACCACCATAGTGGGACAGATATCTAACAATGACAAGTCAAACTACAGAATGGGAATACAGGGCTTGGTGATGTGGTGCAATGTAAACAATCTGTCTCTCAATGGTGGCAAAACTAAAGAACTGATCATTGATTTCAGAAAGAGAGGAGGAGAACACACTCCCATCTACATCAACGGAACTGATGTTGAGAGGGTGAAGAGCATCAAGTTCCTTGGAGTGATGATAACTGACAACCTGTCCTGGACTTCCCATGCAGATGTGTTAATCAAGAAGGCACAACAATGCCTTTTGTTCCTCAGGCAGCTCAGGAAATTTGGCATGTCCATTAGGTCCCTCGCCAATTTCTACAGATGCACCATTGAAAGCAAACTGTCTGGGTGCATGATGAATGGACTCTCTAGCCTCAAATAGCACTGATCTTGCTAACGTTGATCTTACCTAGTGCATGTCCTGTGCAATGTAACCAGTATGCCTCTGTCTAAGTCTTTTTGATCTGTACATCCTTTGATTACTACGATCTGCCTGCACTGTTCGTAAACATCCCCTTTAGCATCTTATATACCTCAATAGGGCCTCCTCTCATTTTTCTAAACTCCAGAGTATAGGCCTGAACTGCTGAATCTCTCTTCATAAGACAGACCCCTCATCTCTAATATTCATTTATAGAAGTTCCTCTGAACTGCCACCAATATACCCATGTACCTGTCTCACTAATGCCTTTTACAGTTGCAGCAATACTTAGACTCATAGAGAGGTACAGCGCGGAACAGACCCTTCTGCCCAACTGATCTATGCTGACGAGATATCCTCGATTAATCTAGTCCCATTTGTCAGCATTTGACCCATATCCCTCAAAAGCATTCCTATTCATATTGCCATCCAGGTGCCTTTTAAATATTGTAATTGTACCAGCCTCCACCACGTCCTCTGGCAGCTCATTCCATACATGCACCAACCTTTGTATGAAAAGGTTGCCCCATAGATCCCTTTTAAATCTTTTTCCACTCACTTTAAACCTAAGTCTTTTAGTTTTGGACTCCCTTACCCTGGAGAAAAGACTTTGGCTATTCATCCTATTCATGCCCCTCATGATGTTATTAACCTTTTTAAGGCCACCCCACAGCTTTCTCTACTTTGAAACTTTATTCCTTTAACAATAAATGCCAACATTTCTTTTGTCTTCCTTATCGTTTGCTGCACCTTCATACTAGCTTCTGCAATTTGTGCACAAGGACACCCAAATTCTTCTGCATCAAAGTACTCTGCAGTTTCTCTCCATACAGACAATAACTTGCCTTTTTACACCTCTAACTAAAAGCTCACCTATCAGCGTTAATCTCCTTATACCAAATCATGTCTCATTCATCTAACTTGTTCAGAACTGTTCGTAAATTTCTTATTTCTCATTACAACTTTCTTTCCCACCTATTTGACAGTGATTTGAAAATTTGGCAAGAGTACTTTCTATTCCCTCATCCAAATCATTAATGTAGATTGTAAATAGTTGGGGCCTGAGGACTGATCCCTTTGGTATGCCATTTGTTACATCCTACCAACAAGAAACAGGCCTATTTATCTAAACTCTCTGCTTCCTGTTGACTAGACAATCATCTATCCAAGCCAATAAATTAGCCCTAACCCCATGTGTACACAATGCTGCAGGAGGATCAAAGGGTGAAAAGTATCATTCCACTTCAGCTTCTTGTTACTTCTACTCTTACATGTTCATAAGGACAGAGCTTCATTCCCTAACTCACCACCATCTTCTCAAGGGCACTGAGGGATGAGCAATAAATGTTGGCCCAGCCAGTGACCCACACTTCCCATAAAGAAACTTAAGAAAGGAGAATTTGCACCAATTAGGTTGTCAATCAGCTGATCAGCTGGGTTCAAGTCTGAATAGAGAGAATCAACTAATGAATGAGACATGATGGTGAGAATGGTGTAAGTTCTGAGGGCTCCTCAACCAATATCCTGCTTTATAAATTGGCTCTGAAGTGCCCGCTTGTGGTGCAGTAGTAGTGTCCCTATCTCTGAACTGGGAGGTCTGGATTGAAGTCTCACCTGCTCCAGGGGTGTGGAATAATTTCTCTGAACAGGCTGATTAGAAAAATTGATTAAACAATTTCTTTGTAAATCAGAACTCAATGCATCTCGATTGGTGTACCTTATAGACACTATGTTGGATGGAAGACTGGCTTCACTAAACAGAGTCCTGAGGACAGTGTGCCAATGTAGCGTAAACATGTCCACTCCTGTGCCCAGGATTCCCCTCCATGTGTTGTGTATCCCTGGGGAGATTCTTGTGGATGCTGTAGATCATCCACACTGCAGCCACTGTGCATGAGTGATGGAGTGGGTGGATATCGAGTGAATCTACAGGCCATCCAGTGCTAAATACTGATATTTCTCTCCCCAGCTGGACTGGCACAAGATTGGAAACACCACACTCCACGTGAGGTGACAGCACAGGAAGGTTCCTGTGCTCAGGTTCCATGTCATTACAGTTATCCTTCACATCTGGCAAACCAACCGCGAATTGGAATCTGGAACAAAGAGGGAGAATCTGGAACATCATTGATAGCTTTTCACTCCAACCATCACGAGAAAGAGTCCCAACAGTTCCACCATCGGACCCGGCTGTCTGGAGACCTGAAAAATGGAAACTGTTCCCTGATTATAAACACCATCAAGCGGGAAGATGCAGGATCTTATCACTTTAGAATAGAATTTGACAAAGTGAATAGTTACAGCTACTTTCCTGTAACCCAGATTCACATTTCTGGTAAGTGCTGACTTATAGTTACTCAATAATTTACACTCAGCACTCAGTGGAAAATAAAACAAAATACAGTTTATTAGTATCGTGGCAATCACTGGTTAATGAGCGTGAGTGCACTCCTATGAAATTCTGTGTCGGGTATGTGTTGAATTCTTACAGATAGATGCCATGTACAGGACACATGTTAATGTGGCAGCAGATGCAGCGTACATCCGCCGACACAGATGTTGATACCCACCTGAATCGCCATTGAGAGCACGGTTTTGGATTGTGCTTTGTCTGGTTACTCCTCACTGACCATGGGTGACACTGCCAGGAGTTCAGAACCCTGCCAGCATCACTCTCGGATCAATGGAACCTGCGAGCCTCTCCACGGCAGCAATCCACAGATAGCACAGCTTATTAAAACATAGTGTGTGATTATCAATTAACCAGCGGTAGCTTTCAATTTAGTCCTGAAACATCCTCTAATACAGACTTTAATATCAAAGATTAAATATATTGACTGCGTCCATCAATTTTATTTGGTTATTCACTCCCATGAAATCATGCTAATCCTGTTTAAAAGGACTTCCCCTGATTATTTTATCCCCGACCTCATACCACAAATGCTTGCAAACGTGTGATTTTTATTTGAACTGATGATTCCCATTTTATTTATCTGAAGGGATCCATTCTCTTTATATTAGATTTCACAGATAAACCCACGATAGTCCCTGTGGAGATTATCGCAGGAAAGCGTGAGAGCCTAAACTGCATCTTCAACACAACGTGCAATGGAACCGCTCCTGCCTTAACCTGGGACACTCCCACTGCCGTACATGGATCAGTCTCAAACACTGTAACTCAGCATGGTGTCACTCTGACCTATACTTCTGCTCTGAGCCTGACACCATCACGCAGACACCAGGGACAAACCCTCACCTGCAGAGTGAGTTATCCAAATGTTTCTTCAGAGCAGACCCTCGAACTGACAGTGCAATGTAAGTACTCTATGAAAGGCCAATGATTGCACAGTACTGACCCTCTGGCAATATAGCACTCCCTCAGAACTAATCCTCCTTTACTGCAGTAGTAGACACTAATGATACTCCAGCAATGCAGCACTCCCTTTATACCGACACTCCAACAGTGCAGCACTATCCTCAGCACTAATCCTGCAACATAGCAGTACACCGTCAGTACAGGCACTCTGACAGTGCAGTGCTCCTTCAGCACTGACCTTCTGACAGTGCAGCACTCCCTCAGTACTGACCCTCTGAATGTGTGGCACTCCCTCAGTACTGACTCTCCAACACTGCAGCGCTCCCTCAGTACTGATCCTATGACAGTGCTGTTCTCTCTCAGCACTGACCATCTGACCCTCGAACAGTGAGGCACTCCCTCAGTACTGACACTCCAACAGTGCAGCACACCCTCAGTACGAACCCTCCGATAGTGCGGCACAACTTCAGTGCTGACCCTTAGACAGTGAAGCACTCCCTCAGCGCTGAATCTCTGACAGTGCGGCACTCCCTCAGCACTGACCCTCTGACAATGGGCCATTCCCTCAGTGCAGACCCTCCGATAGTAGAGGCACTCCCTCAGTACTGACACTCCAACAGTACAGCACTCCCTCAGTACTGACCCTCTGACAGTACCACAGTCTTTCAGTACTGAACGTCCAACAGAGCAGCACGGACTCAGTACTGACACTCCACAGTGTGAGAGTATTTTGTTATTAACCCCATGACAGTGTGGCACTCCCTCAGGACTGACTCTATGAGATTGCACCACTCCCGCAGCTCTGACTCTCCGACAGTGCGGCACTCCCTCAGGACTGACTCTCTGACAGGGTGGCACTCCCTCAGGACAGACCCTCTGACAGGATGGCACTCCCTCAGTACTGAAATGAAGTTTGTGCCTTGATGACAAAGGAAACACATTGACATCACTCCTTTCACATTCTCACTGCCTTTCAATTCTTCACAGTCAACGTATGTGAATTTGTTTTACTTGTTTTAGATCCACCACAGACTCTCTCAATTGCTTCCCTTGATGGGATTAAAGATTCATCGATCAATATAATCGAGGGGAATTCTGCAGTGATAAACTGCTCTGTCGAGAGTTTCCCAGCTTCTAACCTGATGTGGAGACATCTTAATGTCACAATGAACAGAACAAGTTCCAACAATGAGCTGTGGTTGAAGATTCCTCACATTACGTACAGGGAGACTGGAGACTATCAGTGCGTGGCAGAGAATAAACATGGAGCAGTGGAGGGCTCCATAACTCTCACTGTGGAATGTGAGTGTATACAGTTTCTACATTTCCCTTAGAAATACACATGAACACAGACAGAGACAAACACCCGCTTGTGAATTAGAGATAACAAGGTGTAGAGCTGGGTGAACACAGCAGGCCAAGCAGCATCAGAGGAGCAGGAAAGCTGACATTTCGGGTCTGGACCCTGGACTCTTCTTCTTAAGAAGGGTCCAGACGTGAAACGTTATCTCAGATTCTCCAGCATCGGCAGCTCCTACTATCTCTGAACCGCTTGTGAATTATCTGTCCTTTGTCATTTGAACAGTGCGGAGTCAGTGTCAGCTTTTAATCTGTGTTGAAGGTATGCAAATGCTGGACTCAAAGGACCTGTACTAAATGAGCAGCCTCCTCTCCGGAGAACTGTAGATTTATCCCTCAATAAGATGTTTTATTGGTGGCAAATTGTTTGGGGACAACCTGAGGAAGTAAATGGCTCTTTCATTTTTCCTCAATGGTGAGCTTAAATAAACACAACAGCTGGAGTCTTGCTGTGCACCAGGGCGACTATGTTCCTCACTTCATGTAGCCTTGGCTCAAACATGATTAAATAAGCTGAATTTCAGAGGTGAGATGAGACTGATTGCCTTTAACATCAGGCCTACAATTGACTAAATGTGGCTGAAGGATCCTGAGCAAAACAAGAGTCAATGGGAATCAGCAGATACCTGGGGCATGGGAAGATGGTTGTGGTTGTTGGAGGTCAGCCATCTCTACTCCAGGATATCTCTGTAGGAGTTCCTCAGGGAAGTGTCCTAGGCCCATCATAAGATCAGCTGCACAGATACTGAAGCAGCCCTTACCCAAATGTAACAAGACATTACCATCTCCAGCAAGGGAGAATCTACAATTATCCCTTGACATTAATTGGTGCTATCATTGCTGAATCATCCACTATCAACATCCTTGGGGTTACCATTGAATGGAAAATGAACTGAACCAACCATATAAATACAGTTGCTCCAAGAGCAGGTCACACGTTAGGAATCCTGCTGTGAGTAACTCACTTCCTGTCTCCCCAAAACCTGCCCACCATCTATAAGGCACAAGTCAGGAGTGTGATGGAATACTCCCCACTTGACTGGATGGGTGCAACTCAAAATGTTGCCCAGCCAGGATAAAGCAGCTGCTTGATTGGCACCACATCTACAATCCCCACTTTTAGAATACTGTGTACAATTTTGGTCACCTTTCTACAGGAAGGGTGTTGTTAAACTTGGGAAGGTGCAGAAGAGATTTATAAGGACGTTGCCAGGACTGGAGATTTTGAGAGATAGGGAGAGGCTGAATAGGCTGGGGCTTTTCTTCTCTGGAACATTGGAGGCTGAGGGGTGACCTTACGGAAGTTTAGAAACGGATAAGTTGAATAGCCAAAGTCTTTTCCCTAGGATTCGGGAGTCCAAAACCAAAGGGCATAGGTCTGAGCTGAGAGGGAAAAGATTTGAGAAGTACCTGAGGGATTACATTTTCACACAAAGAGTGGTGCATGTATGGAAGAAGCTGCCAGAGGAAGTGGTGGACGTGGGTACAATTACAGTATTCAAAAGGCATCTGGATGGGTATATATATTGGAAGTGTTCAGAGGGATATGGGCCAAATGCTGGCAAATGGGACTAGGTTAGATTGGGATCATCTCTAGATTGGGATGTCTAGTTGGCACAGATGAGTTCTTCCGAAGAGTCTGTTACCATAAAATATGACTCTATGATGCATTCATTTCCTCCACGACGAACACTCAGTACCTGCAGTACTATCGACAAGAGGCACTGCAGACAGCGCCTTCCAAACCCACACAGGACAGGGGCTGCAGATACATGGGAATACCACCCCTTGCAAGTTCCACTCCAAGTCACTCATTGTCCTGACTTGGAAATATATCACTCTTCCCTCAGGGTCACTGGGGCACAATCCTGGAATTTCCTCACTAACACACACACACACACACAAACACACACACACACACACACACACACACACACACACATGCGCGCGTAAGTCAACAAATAATTGTAGGTTCCTTCAATATTCCATGAACAAAATACAACTCAATGACTGCCATGGGGACATCCTGAGAGATGTTACATATTTTCTTTCTTTTTACTTTCTCCACTGTTGTGAAAGTGAAATGTAGCATGCCAATTTACACAGCCAGTGCCCATCAGAAATATCAAACAGGAACTTAGATTGTAGAAATGTGACTGCAAATTCATAGTGTCATAAGTGGAGAGAGCTGAGCAGGGAGTCTTGCTGTGCACTGGTTTCTCACAACAAATTCTTTATTTGTTTGTAGACTCACCACGGAATCTCTTGATCACTTCAATTCATGTGATTAAAGATTCATCAATCAATATAACTGAGGGGAATTCTGCAATGATAATCTGCTCAGTCGAGAGCTTCCCAGCTTCTAACCTGACATGGAGACATCTTAATGTCACAATGAACAGAACAAGTTCCAACAATGAGCTGTGGTTGGACATTCCTCACGTTACATACAGGGAGTCAGGACACTATCAGTGTGTGGCAGAGAATGAACATGGAGCAATGGATGGCTCCATAACCATCACTGTGAAACGTAAGTGTACTCAGACTTTATTAGCTTTTATTGGTGTATGCAATGTGTGTATTCCTACTAGCACTGGCATTTCTTGACATCCCTAATTGCTGCTTGAGAGCTCTGGTGAGCTACCTTCTTGACATGACTGTGGTTTAGTGGGGTTATAGGTCCATCTACAGTGCTTTCAGAAACAAGATCCAAGATTTTGACTCAGCGACAGTGAAGAAATTGTGACATTGTTCCAAGAGGGGATGGTGTGAAAACATAGAGAATAAGATTAGTAGTAGGCCATTCAGCCCATCAAAACTGCTCTGCCATTCAACACGATTTTAGTTGACCCTCTATCTCAGCATCATACTCCCAATCTCTCATCATACACCATGACACCTTTAGCCTTTTGAAATCTACTTTTGTCTTAAAATATATTCTGTGACTTGGCTTCATAGACTTCTGTGGCAGACAATTGCCACAGGTTCACCTCTGATCCAAGAAATGCCTTCACATCTCAGTCCAAAATAGCCTAGACTATAGCCTGAGTCCCTGACCACTTGCTCTGGGCCCCTGGAAAAGGGAAATATCATCCCTGCATCCAGCCAGAATAGATCTGCCAGATTTGAATACATTTCAAAGAGATTCCCTCTCATTCTTCTAAACTGTAATGAATACAGACTCAAACAACAAACCTGCCATCCTATGAATCAAGACTTGTGAATCTTCCTTGCAGGTTTATCTTTTCTAAGGTAGGAGCACCAAAACTACGCACAATATTCCAGGTGTGGCCTCACCAAAGCCCTATACAGCTGCAGTAAGACTTCTTTGCTGTGTTTTCAAACCCTCTTGCAATTAATGCCAACATACCATTCACTTTCCTCATTGTTTGCTGCACCTGCATGCTTGCTTTCAGTGACCAGTGCACAAGGACACCCATGTCTCTTTTTACATCAACTTTTCCCAACCGATCTGTTTAAATAACTCTCTGCCATTCTGTTTTTCTGATTGGCGTTGACAACTTCACCCTCATACACATTATACTGTATCTGTCATGCATTTATTCACTCACTCAGTTTGTTAAATTATCTTGAAAGCTCTTTACATCCTCCTCACCACCTCTCAATCTCACCTCATTTGTGTTAATGGATCATGTTGTGGAAATATTGCATTTAATTCCCTCATCCAAATCATTGACAGATATAAAGTGAATAACCAGGACCCAAGCGCTGCTCCGTGTGATATCCCATTTGTCACTGCCTCTTTTTCTGAAAAAGACTGATTTATTTCTAATATCTGTTCCCTGTCTGCTAACCAATTCTCAATCCATGCCAGTATATTACCAACAGTCCAACATACTTTGATTTTTATACATTAGCCTCTTATTTGGGACTTTATCAAAAGTTTTCTGAAAATCCAAATTCACATTCACTGATTCTCCCTCGTTATTTTCCTAGTTAGCTCCCTGAAAATACTACAGCAGGTTTCCAAGTCATAAACCCGTGTTGAGATTATGTAATCTTTTTGCTGTTTTCTCAATTTCCTGTTGTCACGTTGTCATAGAGTCAAACTTGTCCATGCCGACCAGATATCCCAAATAAATCTGGTCCCATTTGCCAGCATTTGGCCCATATCCCTCTAAACCCATCCAGATGCTTTTTAAATGTTGTAATTGTACCAGCTTCCACCATGTCCTCTGGCAGCTCATTCTATACATGCACCACCCTTGGCATGAAAAAGTTGCTCCTTAGGTTCCTTTTAAATCTTTCCCCTCTCACCTTAAACCTAAGCCCTCTAGTTTTGGACTCCCCCACCCAGGGAAAATACCTTGTCAATTTACCCTAGCTATGTCCTGATTTTATAAACGGCTATAAGGTCACCCCTCAGCCTCAGAAACTTCAGGGAAAATGCCCCAGTCTATTCAGCCTCTCCCTGTAGGTCAAACCCTCCAACCCTAGCAACATCCTTGTAAATCTTTTCTGAATCCTTTCAAGTTTCACAAAATCCTTCCCATAGCATGGAGACCAGGATTGCATGCAACAATCTAAAAGTGGCCTAACCAATGTCCTATACAGTAGTAACATGGCCACCCAAATCCTATACTCAATGCATTGACCAATAAAGGCAAGCATACCAAATGCCTTCTTTACTATCCTGTCTACCTATGACTCCACTTTCATGGAACCATGAACCTGCATTTCAAGGTCTATTTGTTCAGCAACACTCCCCAGGACCTTACCATTAAGTTTATAAGTCCTGCCTTAACATAGAACATAGAACAGTACAGCACAGTACAGGCCCTTCGGCCCACAATGTTACGCCAATCTTTTACCCTAAACCTAAGCTCTATCTAACCTCCACCCCTACCTTATGCTATCATCCATATGCCTATCTAATAGCCACTTAAATGCCTCTAATGAGGCCGACTCCACCATCCTCTCTGGCAATGCATTCCAAGCCCCCACCACTCTCTGAGTAAAGAACGTACCTCTGACGTCTCCCCTATATCTACCTCCACTCACTTTAAAACTATGCCCCCTCATAATAGCTACCACCATCCTAGGAAAAAGTCTCTGGCTGTCCACTCTATCTATACCTCATTTTGTACACCTCTTATCCTTCGTCGTTCTAAAGAGAAAAGCCCTAGCTCTCTCAACCTTTCCCTGTAAGACCTTCCCTCCATTCCAGGCAATATCCTGGTAAATCTCCTCTGCACCTTTTCCAACGCTTCCACATCTTTCCTGTAATGAGGTGACCAGAACTGGACACAATACTCCAGATGTGGCTGAACCAGGTTTTTGTACAGCTGGAGCATAACTTCATGGCTCTTGAACTTACTCCCACTATTAATGAAAGCTAACACACCATATGCCTTCTTAACAACTCTATCCACCTGGGCGGCCGATTTCAGGAAACTGTGGACATGAACCCCAAGATCACTCTGCTCCTCCACACTGCCAAGAATCTTTCCATTAAGCCTGTATTCTGCTTTCAAATTTGTTCTTCCAAAACGAATCATCTCAGACTTTTTAGGGTTAAACTCTATCTGCCAATTCTCAGCCCAGCTCTGCATCCTATCAATGTCCCTTTGTAACCTAGAACAGCCCTCTGCACTCCACAACTCGACCCACCTTCGTATCGTCCGCGAACTTACTCATCCACCCTTCCACTCCTACATCCAAATCATTTACAAAAATCACAACTAGAAGAGGACCCAGAACAGATCCTTGTGGTATGCCACTCATAACTGAGCATCATGTTGAATACTTTCCATCCAGTACCACTCTTTGTCTTCTAAGGGTGAGCCAATTCTGAATCCAATCTGCCACATTTCCCCCTATCCCATGCCTCCTTACTTTCTGCATGAGCCTACCATGGGGAACCTTATCAAACGCCTTACTTAAATCCATGTATACCACATCCACTGCTCTACCTTCATCCATGTGTTTGGTCACCTCTTCAAAGATTCAATAAGGTTTGTGAGGCATGATCTACCTCTCACAAATCCATGCTGACTATCACGAATCAAACTGTGCCTATCCAAGTGATCATAAATCCTATCTCTCAGAGCCCTTTCCAATAATTTGCCCACCACTGAAGTAAGACTAACTGGCCTGTAATTTCCGAGGGTTGTCCCTATTCCCTTTGTTGAACAAGGGAATGACGTTTGCCACTCTCTAATCTTCTGGCACTATACCCATGGACAGTGAGGATGAAAAGATCATCACCAAAGGCCCTGCGATCTCTTCCCTCGCTTCCCATAGAATCCTTGGATAAATCCCATCAGGCCCAGGGGGACTTATCTATCTTCCAGTTCCTCAAAATTCCTAGTACATCTTCCTTACTAACATCCACCTCTTCTAGCCTACCAGCCTGTTTCACACTGTCCTCTCCTACAACTAGGTCCCTCTCAGTTGTGAATACTGAAGAAAACTATTCATTAATGACCTCTCCTATCTCTTTAGGCTCTGTGCACAAATTCCCTTTATAATCCTTGATGGGCCCTACCCTTTCTCTGGTCATTCTCTTATTCCTCACATACATGTAAAAAGCCTTGGGGTTGTCCTTGATCCTATCTGCCAAGGTTTTCTCATGCCCCCTTATAGCTCTCCTAAGCCCTTTCTTCAGCTCCTTCCTGGCTAACTTGTATCCCTCTACAGCCTTTTCTGATCCTTGTTTCCTAAACCTTATATAAGCATCCTTCTTCCTCTTAACTAGTAGTTCGACCTCTCTTGAGAACCAAGGCTCCCTCACTTGACCGCATCTTCCCTGCCTGCAAGTAACATATCGAGCACACGCAGTATGCATTCCTTAAACAATCTCCACATTTCTATAGTGCTCTTCCCTGACAGCATCTGTTCCCATTTTATGTTACCCAGTTCTTGCCTAACAGAATTATAATTACCCTTCCCCCAATTATAAACCTTACATTGCTGTATGTACCTATCCTTTTCCATGACTATTGTAAAAGTAACAGAGTTATGATCGCTAATGCCAAAATGCTCTCCTACCAACAGGTTTAACACTTGCCCGGTTCATTGCCAAGCACTAAACCCAAAGTGGCCTCTCCTCGTGTTGGTCTACATACTGTGTCAGGAATCCTTCCTGAACGCACTGGACAAAATCTGCTTCATCTAAACTATTATAATTAAAAAGTTTCCAATCAATATTTGGAAAGTTGAAGTCACCCATAACCCCAACCCTGTGCCTTCTGCACCTTTCCAGTATCTGCATCCCAATCCTCTCCTCCACTTCTCTGCAACTAATAGAGGGTCTGTAAATAAAACCCCAACAAAGTGACTGCTCCTTTCTTGTTCCTGATCTCAATCCAAACTGACTCTGTAGACATATCATTCTCGAACTGCCTTTCATTAGCTGCTATACTAGCCCTGACTAGCAATGCCACACCCCCGCCTCTTTTACCACCCTCCCTATTTCTTTTAAAGCATCTACATCCCGGAACTTCCAATAGCCTTGATTCGCCTTTCCGGAATGCAGCACCTCAAATTTATCTACATTTAACTCCATCTGCCTCTCCTCGGCCCATTGGTCCATCTGATCAAGATCATGTTGTACTCTGAGTTAACCTTCTTCGCTGTCCACTATCCCTCCAATTTTGGTGTCATCTGCAAACTTACAAACCATACCTCCTAGGTTTACATACAAATTATTTATGCAAATGATGAAAAGCAGTGGACTGAGCACTGATCCTTGCGGCACACTGCTGGTCACAGGCCTTGAGTCTGAAAAACAACCCTCCACCACCACCTTCGACTTCTACCTTTGAGTCAGTTCTGTATGTTCACATCAATCTCCAGTATTTCCCCTATTACTGATGTTAGGCAAAACGGTCTGTAATTCCCTGTTTACTCCCTCCCTGCTTTGTTAAACAGCAGAGTCACATTTGACAATTTCCAATCTCCTATTTCTATTCCACTATTTGCATGGCTATGTCTTTAGTATCCTGGATATAGATTATCAGGCCTGAGGCATTGAAAGCTTTCAGACCCATAAACCACTCCGGAGATTTTTTTTTAACTAATACTAACCTTCAAATCCTACTTCAAAAACACTTCTGAGTGACTTGGCGGAGAACTTGTGTTTCTATGCATCATCCTTCCATAGATCTGGCAAGTGCTGGCAAAGAAACATTGATGAGTTGCATATTGAATTTTGTAAATAGTGTACGCTGCCCTTGCTGTGCATATGTGGTGGAGAAAACAAATGTCTATGGGGTGGATGTGGTGCTAATCAAATGGGCTGCTTTGTCCTGGATGAGCTTCTTGTTGTTGGAGCTGCACCAATCCAGGCAAGTGGAGAGTGTTCCATCACATGCCTTGTGAATGATGGACACATTTTGAGGAGTCAGCAGTTGAGTTCCTTGTTGCAGCATTCTGAGCCTTTGATCTGCTCTTGTCACCACACGATTAACAAATACCAGACTGTTCTCAGGGCCAACAGCTTTTAATGTATCCGGTGTCTTCAGCCATTTCTTCACATCGTGTGGAGTGAACTGAATTTGCTGAAGACTGGCATCTGTGATGCTGGGAACCTCTGGAGAGGGCCAAGATGGGTCACTTGCCTTGCCCTTTGCACAGATATACTGGGCTCTCCCATCACTGAGGATGGGATATTTTTGGAGTTCCCTCCTCCAATTATTGTTTGATTTGCCTCTGACTTTCATGGCTGGATGTGGCTGGACTGCAGAGATTTATTCTGTTCCATTGGTTGTGGGATTGCTTAACTCTGACTAGTGCTTCCACTGTTATGCAGTCCTTTGTGTCACCCCATCAGTTTGCCATCTCCATGAAAACAATTCTTATGGATATAAATTCTGCATATGTATGTAGTACATAAATATCACATCTATAAACTTTCCTTGTATAGATCTTACACATGTGGACAGATATCACTTCACCAGTTTAGCATGAGGACATCTACTTCTGAACACAACAATCATACAGTGCTGTTGCTCTGGAAGGGGTGCAAAGGCAATTCACCAAGATGTTGCCTGGGATGGAGCATTTCAGCAATGAAGAGAAGCTGGATAAGCTCAGGTTGTTTTCTTTGGAGCAGGGAAGGTTGAGGGGAAAACCTGATTGAGGTAATGTTTAAGGGGTGCATGGATAGGATGAATGGAAAGCAGCTGTTCCCTTAGTTGAAGGGTCAATACCAGAGGGGCAACATTTTTAAGATGACAGGCAAGCAGTTTAGAGGGGATTTGAGGAAAACTTTTTTTTCACCCAGAGGTTGGCGGGGCTCTGAAGGCACTACCTGGGAGAGTAGTTGAGGTTGAAAGCCTCACAACCTTTATGACATACTTGGATGAACCCATAATTCAAAGGAATAGGCCTCGTGTACTAAATTGGTAGAGGAGCAGGTAGTAGTATAGCGTTGATGGACTGAAGGGCCTCTACTGTATGATTTCATGATTCTATGAGAGCCCATCAGGTTTGTAACACCAAAACTGCACTAAATCTAAATTCTTTGGCTATTTTTCCAGTTCGAGATTTCAGTGGATGGAAAGCAGGATTGCTTGGATCTGGAATCATTTTAAGTGTTGGACTGAGTGGATTCTTCATCTTCAAGTGTGTGAAAAAGTAAGTGTGAAAGGTTCATTTGTTGCTTTTGAACTTGCAGCAGCTCTGCAGCAGCTTTGACAGTTCAAAAACACTTCAGAGGCACTGAACTGCCTTGACGTCCAGTCACTCCTTAATAATCCATCAAAGAGCGCAGTCCGACCTCAGCAGTGCAACCAACAGTGTCAGTCTGGATGTAAAACGTGCTTCGATCTCCTCAGGTTGTGAAACGGGTTGTTTCACTGCAGGCCGGGAATACTGGAGAAATTCAGCAGGTCTGGCTGCAGCTGTGGAGAGGGAAACAGAGTTAACATTGAGAGTCCAATCTGAATCATTCAGATTGTTCCAAATACTATGCTGAACCCGATGAAGAGACATGTTGGACTTGAAACCTAAACTCTGTTTCTCTATATGGATGCTGCCTGCTGTCTGCTGCCCGTCCTGCTGAGTTTCTCCAGCATGTTCTCTTTTTGTCTCAGGTCTCAAGCATCAGCAACATTTTGCTTTAACATAAATGCAAACCTCTCTGTCATCAGTGGATGCATCCCTTTCCATTTTCACCATCTCATTTCCCCTCTCTGGTTTCTACTGATGTTCTCTATCTCATTCTCCCCCTCATTCTCTTGCACATTGTCCAGTTTCTCACTGTTTTAAAGAGCAAAGAGTAACATCTGAACCTGCAGAAGTTCCCTCTTCGCCCTCTGGAGGGAGCAGTGATCTAAAACTCAATGTTACACTGCAATATTGTCAGGAAGCAGGATACAAAGAGTTAATGATTTACCATTAATGAAAGATAAAGGTCCTGTGTTTCAGAAAGAAAGTGCTTTCACACTGTTGATAACAAGGTGTAGAGCTGGATGAACAAAGCAGGCCAAGCAGCATCAGAGGAGCAGGAAAGCTGACGTTTCGGGCCTAGACCCTTCTTCAGAAATTATTCAACTAAATTATTCAACGATCCCCTTCCTCTCCCCCATTTCTGAAGAAGGGTCTAGGCCCGAAACGTCAGCCTTCCCGCTCCTCTGATGCTGCTTGGCCTGCTGTGTTCATCCAGCTCTACACCTTGTTATCTCAGATTCTCCAGCATCTGCAGTTCCTACTATCTCTGCTTTCACACTGTTGTCCACTTCCTCATCTGACCTATGGTGACTGTTTCTAATTCAATACACAGAGGAAAAAGCACAGGAAGAGGCCAAACAGCATATGTCAGTAGAGACACTCCAGGCGAGCAGTGGGACAGGTTCAGGGTAAGTAACATAATTATTGGAATTTAATTCCACAACCAACATCTTCCTTTGTTAATGCTGTGACTTTATAAAGGCAGATTCCAATGATTGATGCCTCTAAAATATATATACTTAGTATTAAGATCTGGTTGTAAGGCTCAAGTCTGCTGTACTGAACATCTTTTAATCAAATTCTGTGGATGGGTTGCACAAGCTAAGCTAAGCTTGAGCTCCCTAGAGACTAGAACATTAAGGGGGCTGAGCAAAATGATTAAGATAATGAAAGGATTACTTTGTAGTACAGAAGTTAATTGTTGCTCAAAGGATACAAAATAAAACTACCCAGCATGATAATGACTTCCCGATCATCTGTTTCTTGTGAACACACATTAAAGGGCCTATGCCCACTACCTTGAGCAGTGCCCAGTCTAATTCAGGATACTCTGGAAGGGGAAGGGAAAGGTGAATCAAAACAAAAGTATCTCATGCTGCTACTCTGCTGAAAACCCACGAGTGGTTTACTCCACTAAAAAGATCTGGAGTCAAGTCAAAAAGATGTTTTGCCTACGACGCTGTCCGGCTGGTTAGTGATGCAGAATGATGCTAACATCACTGGCTGAGGGTGCCATGATTGTCCTACCTTTGCAACTTTGCCCCGGTCTAAGCTGTGGTCAACCCTCAGCTTAAACTCATTGCAAGTCATCTCTCTCTCTGTGAGAGAGTGGCACTGCGTTGACCTTACCTTTTCACAGCAATGTAATATATTATTTTTGACGCCAGGTATGCAGGCTGTACAGCTGAAGAAATGGCAGTCTGGTGCAAACACATCCCACTTGTTGTGGTCGATGGTGCATAACCAACACACACCTGCAAGCCTCAGAAAAGTATATCCATCATTAAATGTGGTTCTGCTTCGAGCAATGATTGTTTTTCATGAAATGTTAAAGGCATTTATTAGATAATCCAAACCCCATTTTGAGTAGACAAAATGGATTCCAACAAACATTTCACCTTTTCCTTTGAGAAAAAAGGCTCACGGAGACTGCTAATCTCTGCTGTATTTCCCTGGCAACATCCTGATTAATCACAATCTGCCTGTCAGCTCTGATAACTAAGATTGACAGTTAATTGTTCCTGCTGCATTTCCATGTCAATACGATTGACAGTTAACTGTTCCTGTTGCAATTCCATGTCAATACGTTTTAGAGATAATTGTTCCTGCTGCATTTTAATGTCACTAAGATTGATAGTTAGCTGTTCCTTCTGCATTTCCGTGTCAATAAAATTGACAGTTAACTCTTCCTGTTGCATTTCCATGTCAATAAGATTAACAGCTAACTGTTCCTACTGCATTTTCATGTCAATAAGATTGACAGTTAACTGTTCTGCTGGAATTCCAAGCCAATGATGGTCCAAAGAATCAGCACTGTCATTTCCTGCTGGAGATATGGGTACCTCTTTGTCCACAGCTATTTCCTGTGCCCTCATCCTGATGATTGGAGAATTGGATTTCACATCTCCTGTTAGGAATGGTTCGAGGACTTGATAGAGATAGAGAGAGGCAATTACTTCTGATGGATTGACATGGGAGAATGGGGGGCATTTCATGCCAAGAGGGACAGGGAAAGCAGATCCTTAAAATCGCAGCCAGATTACTCAGGATTGATGTCAGGAAACATTTCTTCAAAAGAAGAGCAGTTGGATAATGTGGAACTTTCTCCAACAATAATCAGAGCATATCCAAATCCTGTTCATTCTCACAGTGTCCAATCTGTTTCCAATACAGGAGAGAAGGGACATGAAACAAGAAACTAAAACTAAACGTTGTGCCAATGAATATGAAGGTCCTGCTTATGAAAACTGTAAGATGGATTGGGCTTTGAGAAACCAGAAGGTGAGCTACATACAACAGGATATCCAGGCACTCACCTCCCCCACTGGCTCTAATACTGATGTCTCTGGTCCTTTCATGTCTCTGAAATCATTTACACAACGATACTTGAACCCAGGAAATTGTACAATGCACACCACTCAGTATCAATCATCAAACTTCACACAGTTCAGTATCAATAATCAAACCCCACACTGTTCAGTATCGATAATCAAACCCCATACTGTTCAGCAGCGATAATCAAACCCCACATTGTTCAAATAATTAATGGATCTGTTGTAGGTATAATTTGTATTGGGATTAATAATACTAAATGCTGATCACTCTGAATGTCTCTGTGCTTATTTTTGTTTCTATTGCAGAAGAAATTTGAGGAAATGAAATCAAATCATAATGTTCATGTACACCAAGAAGACGATATCTACGCAAACTGTAACTTTGATGAGGAGGCTGTGTATGGGAATGTTTAAACTAAGCAAGATTGAGAAACACTCAGTATGGGGACAACACTGATTGACGGAATCTTTCAAACTTGAATTTACCTTCCAAAAATCCACAGGAATGATCCCCAAGAACTAATTTGAAATTTCTTGATATCATGTGCGAGAGTTTCTTGAAGGTGAAGTCGTCTCAGAGTTGAGTGATGATGCGTCCAAGATGTTTCTGTCTGGATTTAATTTTAAACATCCTTCTTCAACAGAGTCTCCAACAGCAAGGGACATTCTTCTCTCCGTTGTGATTGTATACATCTTTTGATTTTGATCAAACATCTATCAAGACTGGACACACACATTCAATCCCATGCTGGTTCACTCCCTTCCACTCATCCAAATGGGTCAATATTTTCTGAATACTCCCCTCTCCAGAACTCTCATTTCTCCCTATTTTCTCTCCTATCGCCTCTCATGTCCTCTGTGAGCTCACCCTGTCTGTGACAGCCATCTCCTTTTCCTATGATCCGGTTCCCACTAAACCGTTGATCACCCAACATCCCCTCCTGGCTCTCATGTCAGCCAACAGTGTGATGGTCTCTCTCTTCAGGAACTGGGCCTCTCTCTTTTACGTCTCCCACCGACACACTTCCCTTCCAAAAATAACCATTCACCTCCTTAAACCTCCCACTTCTCTCTACTCTTTTAAACTGCTCTGAAAACCCAACTTCTTTTATCAACATCTTATCCACCAGTCCTAAGATCACATTCCTTTGCCCAATTGCAATAAAGGAAGACTTAAATTTCTTTAACACCTTGGATCACTGCAGGACATCCCAAAGTGCTTCAGTGAATGAAATTGTTTTGAAGTACAGCCACCTCTACAGTGTAGGATTGACACAGCAAGATCCCACAAAAGGTCACGTAATTGTGACCCACACAGTTTGGTTTCATTGATGCTGATTGGGAATAAATATTGCCTGCAGCACATTGCGGAGGTGGACCCTTGTTCCTTTTCCAAATACCAGAATGGGATCTTCTATATCCACCTGAACAGCATTCCCTCAGTACTGATCCTCTGACAGTGCGGCATTCCCTCAGCACTGACCTCCAACAATTCAGCACTCTGTCAGGACTGTCCCTCTGACAGTGCTGCAATCCCTCAATACTGACCCTCCGACAGTGCAGGGCTCCCTCAGTATTGAACCTCTGACTGTGGCACTCCCTTAGTACTGATCCTCTGACAGTGCAGCAATCCTTTAGTACTGACCTTCCGACAGTGCAGCAATCCTCTAGTATTGACCCTCTGACGGTGCAACACTCCTTCAGTACTGATGCTAAGACAGTGCAACATTCCTGAGTACTGACCCTCTGACAGTGCAGCATGCGCTCTGTATCACACTGAAGTGTCAACTGGGGTAATTTTGATAGGTAATGCACCTGTTGATGTATAATTGTATTTGGATGCTTTCTAAGTATGAGTTGTTGTTGCTGCTGTATTTGAATCAATTTTCATTCTGTCATTCATTATAAACGTTTACAGAGTCCTCTTGATGAAATCTATACTTCAGGGAAAGCAGGATCAGAGCAGATTTAGACGAAGTCAGTCTCAAGTGCTCAACGCTTCGCAGTCCAGCAGTCTTGCCATATTTGTTGAACAATTATAACTGTTCCCATTTTGTATTGTCAGCCTTGGTAATATAGTCAATGGAACAATAATCTAGAAACATGGAGATGGTATTAGTTGTGGAATTGGGAGCTGCCCTGCAGCACAGACTGAGGAACCAGATGTGAATCAAAGATCATACAGCACCACCACTGGTGAGAAGGTGTCATTACAGCATGACCTGTTCACATTGACGGTGCCATTGCAATGCTTAAGAGCATACGAACTTAGGAATTGGGAGCAGGAGCAGGACATTCCACCCCTCAAGCCTCCTCTACTGTGCAATTACATCATGTCTGATCTGTTTCTGTTTCAAATTCCACAATTTCATCCATCCCCAATAACCTTTGATTCACCTGCCCAATAAGAATAGATCAACCACTGTATTAAAAATATTCACTGACCCCACCTCCACTGCCTCCTGAGGCAGAGTCCCAAAGTCAGAGAAAACAGAATCTCATCAGTTCTGTTCTGAAAGAGCAACCCCTGATTTTAACACAAAATCTTCTAGTTCTGGACCCAGACAAGAGGAATTATCCTTTCCCACCCACCTTGCCAAAGGGTTCAGGATCATATACACCTTAATCAGGTCACCCCTCACTCTGCTAAACTCCAGTTAAAACAGGCCCAAACTGTCCAATCTTTCCTTATAAGTCAACCCACTCATTCCAATTTTGTGAACCTCCTCTGAACTTCCTCCAACACATTGACATCCATCTTCAAAATAAAGAAATCAAAACTGCACTTCTCCTATGATGCTGCTTGGCCTGATGTGTTCATCCAGCCCTGTACCTTGTTGTCTCGGATTCTCCAGCATCTGCAGTTCCTACTATCTCTGCACTTAGTATCAGATGTGTGGTCTCACGAATGTCCTGTATAAATGAAATATAAGATCCTTAATTTTATCTTCCATTCCTCTCGTAATATACGAGGTATCCCATTGGACTGCTGAATTACTTGCTGTATCTCATGTGTCTCATACATCAAAACACCTAAATCCCTCTGCATCTCAGAATTTCCTTAATAATCACATTAATAATACTGCACAAACCATTCAACAATGTTCATTGGATAAGATTTACCCTTTACAAATTCATGCTGGTTCTCTCATGTCACCTCAGATTTCTCCAAAGTTCTCGGTCACTCAGTCCCCAATAGCTGATTCTTGTCATGTCCCCAGAAACAGTGTTAGTGGTTACAAAGTTAATTATTTTGGGAACAGTCAGTATAGCCTTGTGCGTGAGATTAAGAATGTAACCAAAAGAATAGATGAGGGCAGAGCAGTAGACATTGTCTACATGGACTTTAGTAAAGCCTTTGACAACGTTCCGCATGGTAGACTGATTAGTCAAGTTAGATTACATGGGATTCAGGAAGACATTGCCATTTGATACAAAATTGTCTTCATGGTAGGAGACGGACAGTGGTTGTGAGGGTTTCTTTTTAGACTGGAGGCCTGTGACCAGGTGTGTTCTGCAGGAATTGGTGCTGGGTCTATTGTTGTTTGTACCTTATATAAATGATTTGGATGAGAATTTAGGACATATGATTAGTAAGTTTAGTGGATGACGATGGTATAATCAACAATGAAGAAGGTTATCTAAGATTACAAAGGGATCTTGATAAATTGGGCCATTGAGCTGAGTAATGGTATTGCAATTTAGCAAAATGAACAAGGGCACGGCTTATACAGTTAATGGTAGGGTCTTGGGTAGTGTTGTTGAACAGAAAGAGCAAAGGGTTCAGGTACATAGTTCTTTGAAAATTTCATCACAGGTAGACAGGGTGGTTAAGAAGACATTTAGCACGCTTGCCTTCATTGCTCAGACCATTGAGTATAGGAATTGGGACGTCATGCTAAGGTTCTATAGGATGTTGGTGAGCCACATTTGAAGTACTGTGTACAGTTCTGGTTGCCCTGCTGTAGGAAGACTATTATTAAATTAGACAGGGTTCAGAAAAGAATTATCAGGATATCGCTGGGACTGGAGGGTTTGAGTTATAAGGACAGGCTGGATAGGTGGAGCTAGGAGGTTGAGGGGTGACTTTATAGGGGTTTACAAAATCATGAGGGGCACCAAAAAGGTCAACGGCCAAGATCTTTTCCCTAGCATGGGGGAGTTCAAAACTAGGGGGCATAGTTTTAAGGTGAGAGGAAAAAAATTTATAAGGACCTGAGGGGCAGCTTTTTCACTCAGAGGGTGTTTCATATGCGGAATGAACTGCCAGAGGATGTGGGAGAGGTGGGTATAATTACAGCATTTAAAAGACATTTTGACAGGTCCATGAATAGGAAAGGTTTAGAGGGATATGGGCCAAATGCAAGCAAGTGGGACTAGTTTAGTTTAGAAAACTTGGTCGGCATGGATGAGTTGGACTGAAGGGCCTGTTTCGGTGCTGTATGATTCTATGACTCTACCTAAAAGTGATCCCTCTGTACTCTTAAATCAAGAGTGGATGTTCACGAAACAAAAGGGTTAACAACTAAGGAGACATTGGCTGTAAAAACAGAGTGATAGAAGAAAAATCAGATGGTTGGATGAATTGAGGCATGGACTGAGGGAGGTTTGATTAAAGCCAGAGAAGAAGATTAGCAACTCCAACTGTGGCTATGAGTGACTCACCCATGATCAGACTGTTCTTTTAAACATTGTCGTGACGTTGGTCATTTTTCTCATCCAACAAGGCAATTCCTGAATAAAGAACATTTTGAAGATCATGATTAACATATCCACAATTTCCTCATCGGTTGCTCACTGCTGCCTGGGCTATGCAGCATTGGATTGAGAATAATTTATCAGCTCAGACCTGTTATTTTCACCATCTTTATTCAAACTTACACTGAATCTATTCAGCTCCCAGTCCTGAATTATTTCAAGTTTCCCTTAAATGACGCGGGGCTCACTCCCTTTGAAGGAACAGATTGGGTCTTAAAGATAAAAGTGCATTAGTCTCACCATCCTATCCAGCAGGTAACATGTTGCTGACTCTAGTTGACCACATTCCTGGAGTTGACATCCTCTAACCTTTAAACCTTGACCCACCCATTGACCCCTGCCAACTTTGAGCTCTCCTGCCGTTCCCATTGACAATGACTGACCAACTGCAGGACCCTAGACCATACCCAGCACAACTGTATATTTCTTGCCCATGGTCAATGCCAACACCTCCAGCCTTCAACATGATGACAACCGATGATGGCGACTAGATGGAGGGACATATTGGTTTGTTGGATCTCAATAGGGATCGAGTTGATCACCATTCACATTTTGGTCAGGAAATGCCCATCACCATTGGTGTGTGTGGGAGAGGCGGAGGGGTTGCTGTTGGCAACCGGGATGGGACGGGAACTGAAGAGCCCGAGACCCTGGCCGCTGTGCGCATGTGCAATAAGTCAACCGCCGCATTCCCCCCCGGCCCTTATCTTGGACCCGCCCACATTCCTGGCCCCTCCTCTCCGGGTGACGGTTATTTCCGCGGGAGAAAGTCAACCGTCAATTTTCTCCCCCGTTAGAGAAAAAGAGTGACCTGAGCAGGAGGGAAGTAGAGCTAAGGAAGAAGAGGAGGAGGAGGAGATGCGAAGGGAGGGGGATGAGAAGTGATGGACGATGACAGATGGAACGAGCGATTTGAGTTGGTGGATGTATGGTGGAATGTGAGGGCGGGGCAGGGGGATGTGAGCGGGTGGAGGATGAAGAGGAGAGAGTTGGAAGGACGGGTATTTGGGAGGAATGAGGAGGAGGGGGCTGTGAGGGAGAGGACGAGGAGAGAGACGGAGGGAGGAGGTTTTCGGGGCCTGGGGGATGTGAGGGAAATGGGGCTGTGATGGTGGCGGGGTGAGGGGAGAAAGCTGATCGGGAGGGTGCAGCGAATCTCAGAGGCAGATAGGAGGAGGGTACCATGGGGGAGGTGCCTGTGAGAGGGATGGGGCTGAAGGGGAGGTGCCTGTGAGAGGGATGGGGCTGAAGGGGAAAGTGCTGTAAGGTGTATGGCATAGGGGTGAGGGGGAGAAAAGGGGAATGTGGGGAGTTGGTTTTGTGAGGGATGGCTGTTAGTTGGAATGTCTCTGTGAGGGGTAGGGGTTTTGTGAGGGGTAGGGGTCTTTGGGGGCGGGGGGGGGGTACGGACCTGTTGGGAATAGGGGTCTGTGATGAATTGGAGATGATAAAGTCCCTTTTTTAAAACAAAAGCAGCATGGAAGAAGTAACTGTTCCCTGATGTATTCTCCATGGCAACATTTCAACCAATCAAGAGTTTAATTCCTCACCAATGAGTCCCTGTTTTCATCCAGTATAAATCGTTGTTCCCTTTGAAACTTGGTATTCCTGCGTCTGTCCTGATGAGTTCAAAATGAAACAATTGACACCGTGCCAAGGAATATTGGGAAGGGCTTTTGCTGGATGAGAGACTGTGTTAATGAGAGATTACAGTATGGGACTTGCAGGTAAGGCTTCTGGGT